AACACGTTGTCTCCTATGGTTTGCGGTAGAGCAGGAGCAAGGGTCACTGTGTGCATGGCACTTAAATCGCTAGTGCATGTGGGATTTCTAGACATTGCCCCACAGTGCCTTATGAGCCTCTTGAACGAGCTGACATTAAGCATCTTTCTATGAAGACAACCTTCCTCTTGGCCATAACATCAGCCAAGAGGGTCAGTGAGTTGTTATGTCCTCTCAGTGAGTCTACAATGCCTTAAGTAGGGTAACCTGAGGATGATTCATTTTCTTGCACTGATGGATGACTATCCTTCATCAGACCTCAATTTATCATCAAGAGCCACAGGGAGAGAGATACAGGCTAGTGTCCAGTGGACCTCATTGCTAGCAGGACAACAACACGTTGTCTCCTATGGTTTGCGGTAGAGCAGGAGCAAGGGTCACTGTGTGCATGGCACTTAAATCGCTAGTGCATGTGGGATTTCTAGACATTGCCCCACAGTGCCTTATGAGCCTAACGAACGAGCTGACATTAAGCATCTTTCTATGAAGACAACCTTCCTCTTGGCCATAACATCAGCCAAGAGGGTCAGTGAGTTGTTATGTCCTCTCAGTGAGTCTACAATGCAAAGTAGGGTAATCTGAGGATGATTCATTTTCTTGCACTGATGGATGACTTTCCTTCATCAGACCTCAATTTATCATCAAGAGCCACAGGTATTAAATTTGTGTTTTCTATACCTGCTTTTTTTGACTCTCAAAGAGGCGGCACCTGCTGACTTGTATTTTATGAATCATCAAGGACCCCGGTTTCAGCTAAAAATCATCTTTACTGTTCTACTGAAAAAAGAAACACACCTACATCTTGGGTGGCCTGAGGGTAAGTAAATTAACAGCACATTTTCATTTTTGGGTTAACTATTCAGAACTATAACAGTTACATGATCTCTGGGTAACGAGTGGCTTTATACATTATTACAGGAAAACATCATGTGATTACTGAACCACTGCACTGGAGCAGCTCTATGAGGCATCAAATCAAACATAAAATACATCAGATCAAACAATAAAATGATCAGTGCATGTAACACAAGCCTGTACCAATACATTTCAACTGGCAAAATTAAGCATGGATGTGATTAAACAGCTATTTACTAAATAAATTAAGCCAACTTATGATTCATTTGGTTTCTCTAACCAATACTTTTTTAAATTACAAATGCAATGAAAATTCAGGCATTGACATGTACCAAAACTGCAAGTATTGCCATCATACTCAGTCTGGAAAAAACTGGTATTGGATTATCCCCAACAGTGTCTGTGTACAGTGCAATACAACTACCACTTGAAAAATACCCTGGCTGTATCTTGAGGCTTTGGTATGGCGGCTGTCACACCAATATATCATGCAAGACTGTCACCCACACATCATTCAAAGGCTCACCCATGCTCACCAACACCCACACATGACCAACACACTTGTCCAAATGCTCAATCATACTCTCACACACCATGACACCCACACTCTCATCCACACACCACCACACGCTCTTATTTAGTGCTCATCCAGACGCTCACCCACACATCATCTAAAGCTCACACGTGCTCATCTAAACACATGCACTCATCCAAACGTTCACACTTACGCTCACCCACACCTTCATCCATATACCCGTGAGGCCTGAAATCACATGCAGGACGGCACACAATTTTACTCTGTTTATATTGTGCACAAAACATTTATTAGCTGTAACAAGTGTGTCGAATGTTCATCAGTTCATTCACACCTTCAGTAACCCAAAACACATACACCGACTCACGCACGGTGAAATGCACAGACATTTCAAAGCTCTAATCTGGAAATAGTTTTTCATCACTCCGCTCTGACATTAACAGCCTTTTTATTTTAAGCATACTGAACCGTGACCTGAAAACCAAACCATCATATTCATATAGTCCTAATTATTACACATCTACATGACAGTGGTTTACAGACCTTGTTAGTGAGTCTTGATGCCGAAAATCATTTGGACTCACATTTAAATTCAGTAGGTATTATATAAATAATTTATTATACGTGAGGGATAATGTACATCTTGCCTTAAAATAGTGTCTTTGTACAATCTGGTAATAGTGTTTGTAATTTATTATGCAGCATCTCACTATTAAATCTTTTCAAGAGATTCAAAAGGTGCCTTTTTTAATATTGTGATTGTTTATAAACTGCAATTATGCTCATAATCACAATTGTTTTTATTCGTTATATGTCCACTTTGTTCGAATCTGCGGTTGAAAAATACAATATAAAATGCAGGTGCAAGAGCAACGACAGAATTTACATTTATTTATTTTTTTATGTTTTTCTATATATCGCAAAACTGTTTAAAACTGAGCTTGAGAAGAGTTTTTGCCTATATTATATGTTTTTACGAAAATTTAATTTGAAACTGGCCTTTTTTGTACATTTATTTAACCAATGCTGTTTTGTGTTACATTAAAGAAATTCAGTTCATTATTTTTTTGAATATGCTCCTTAACGACTGAATTTTTAGCTATTCTGGGTTTAATACAGTATATAACAGACTTCTGACAAAATCATGTATTACGACAAGATTATTTAGTTCAGTTACTTATTTTATTTCAAGTGGATAAATGTGGTCAAAACCAACACGCTTCTTAATTAAGCAATGAGTGGGGTTGTTTGCACATCATGTAAACATCTTAATTTGAATAAGCCCTTACTTTGATTGTCAATAATCACATTATTGCATGCAATATGCACTTGGTGACTTTTCAGGCCAGAGCAGCAACTCTGGAAAGATCGCAGGCAGATGCAGAATGAGCACACTCTCACACAAAATTCATTCACTCTGGAGATATAATCCATAATAATGATCAATAATACTGCATTTTCTTACATGCCATTATTCCCCTGAGTTTTATCTGTCATTTACTAAAACTGACAAATGGACTAAACTCCCCATTTCTTAACATAATACACTCACTCTGGCCTCATTAGGAGAACTTTATATTTAAAAGCACTATAGTTATTACTAATCCAGTTGTGTTTCTTCGAATCTGCTGCACTGGATCCATGCAATAAGTGTTTAGATGATGCACATTGTCATTGGTTTGGTTGGTGCTCACAGATTGGCACAGATATCATAACTGTGAGTTGATGAGCATCATTTAGAAAAGTGATACCACAGTTCACCATAGTACTACATTTACCACGATCAAAATAAACAAACTCAAATTGCCTGTTTTTTAAAATCATAGACGACAACACTGAAAAATTCAAAAATCTGCTGTCTTAATAATACATACAGCTCAAAACAGCGAAAACACTCGTTAGTTATTCTCATTAAGAATGAAAAAATGAACTACTTTGACATAAAAATGGCCATTGCATTTACATTTAGCAGAGACAAAAAACAACCAAACAATGATAACAAAAGTGTGTGTGTGTGTCTAAAATTCCAAAAACAGCTGCCTGTTTCTCTTAAACCTGTACAGCACAAACACAATGCTTAGTGTAATATGGCTTCCAATTATTTCAAAACAAGTAAAGGTCTCATTAAGAATGAAAAAATGAACTACTTTGACATAAAAATGGCCATTGCATTTACATTTAGCAGAGACAAAAAACAACCAAACAATGATAACAAAAGTGTGTGTGTGTGTGTGTCTAAAATTCCAAAAACAGCTGCCTGTTTCTCTTAAACCTGTACAGCACAAACACAATGCTTAGTGAAATATGGCTTCCAATTATTTCAAAACAAGTAAAGAAAAACTTCTGGAATTTTGATCACACTTTATGTTAAGGTCAAATTCTCACTATTAACTATGTCCATGAAGGTATTTTGTAAATTTCCTACCGTAAATATATCAAAAATGTATTATCATTAGTAATACGCATTGCTAAGAACTTAATTTGAACAACTTTAAAGATGATTTTCTCAATATTTTGATGTTTTTGCACCCTCAGATTCCAGATTTTCAAATAGTTGTATCTCGGCCAAATTTGATCATATCCTAACAAACCATACATCAATGGCTTTCAGATGCTGTATAAATCTCAATTTCAAAAAAATGTATGCTTATGACTGGTTTTGTGGTCCAGGGTCCCAAATATGGTCATGCAGAAAATGGGCTTTAATATGCGCTTTATAAGCACTAATAAACAGATAGTAATCTGCATGCTAATAATAAGCAACTAGTTAATATGTGAGAATTGGTCCCTAAACTAAAGTGTTAATTTTTATGGAAACCCAAAAAGTGATAATATGAGAATGTTTGTGACCCTGCAGCACAAAAGCAGTGTTAAGTCGCTGAGGTATATTTGTAGCAATAGCCAACAATACATTGTATGTCACGGTTGCCTACTGTGAGGAGCGAGGAAACGAGGGATTTCACACAGAACAGTCTTTAATGATACACAGGAGGAAACACAGGGTAGCCAGAAGTCACACGTAGCACTATGACGTTAAGAACCGACAAACACATAAGAATTGGTCCCTAAACTAAAGTGTTAATTTTTATGGAAACCCAAAAAGTGATGGTAGCCTACGAGATGTCATAATGTTGGTACAGACCACACTACTGAAAGAGATATCTGCATGTTACAAGCCGCTTTAAAGAATAGCATAATACTTTATAGACAGACAGACAGAGAGACAGATGCATGCACAGACAGACAGACAGACAGATGCATGCACAGAGAGACAGACAGACAGATGCATGCACAGACAGACAGACAGACAGATGCATTCACAGACAGACAGAGACACAGATGCATGCACAGACAGACAGAGAGACAGATGCATGCACAGACAGACAGACAGACAGACAGATGCATGCACAGAGAGACAGATGCATGCACAGACAGACAGACAGATGCATGCACAGAGAGACAGAGAGACAGATGCATGCACAGACAGATGCACAGACAGACAGATGCATGCACAGACAGCCAGAGAGACAGATGCATGCACAGACAGACAGACAGACAGACAGATGTTTACCTCTCCACCATGCCCATCGAAGACGCCAAAGATGGTCGGATGGCTCTTGTTGAGTGTGTCCGTGAGAATGTCAAACCTGTCCTCCATGTGGTCCCTCCTGCCCTGGATCGAGTACACCGCCGCACTCTTGCTCCTGTGCTGCCAGGTCCTGGAGAGCTCCTCGTCCAGCTCGTTCTGCATCATCTCCGCCACCTTGCCCTTCATCATGTTCACCGCGTCGCGGCTCGAGCGCACGATGGTCTTCACCTCATCCGTGTGGAAGAGGAAACTCCAGAGAGCCAGACTGAGACAGAAGAGCAGCAGGGTCTCCGGCCGCAGCAGGAGATAGCGCATGATTCGAGCCAGCAGAGACATCAGACCCATGCTCTCCCTCTCTCTCACACACACACACACACACACACTGCACTAATGACGGCGGCGCATCAGAGACAGAGACTCGTGCGCTCCTCCTGCGCTGATGACGGGCGCAAACATCAAAAACCTGTATAATATATATATGCTGACAGAATCAGATCATCAGTCCCAGAGCTGTGTGATTGAGTCTCACACTCACATACAACACAATGGTCTCACACATGTTTATTTTAATTCTACTACACCCCTCTTAGACATACACGAAACCAAACAACCTGTCAGAATAAAAGCCCCAGCTCTGTGCTGGAGTAATGGATGATCAATAAAAATAGAAACCACAAAATTGCGAGTCAGAGTTTACTGAGATGATAACTGCACGGAGGTAAAAATAAAATTACTGAGAAAAAATACGTAAGTGATAATATGCAAACTTGCAGTGTAATCAAATGGATTGTTGAAGGTTTGTTTTGACTAAATAAATAAATAGCTAAATGGAGATGAAATATTGTTTTGATTTGCGGTATATGTGAGAAAGGGGTGAAAATATGAGAAATAAGAAACATCTGTCCAAGAAATCACTTACCAAGTACAACATTCAATTGCCCTGTTTTGGTATTAAAGTCACCATGAAATCAAATTGGACAATTCTTATTTTTAATGGAATATTGCAATGTTTATTACAGCGGTGTGAGGGCGGGAAAACCTGTCACTCACACGATATCACAGCAATAGCAAACCACAGATCTAATCAAATCCCGATGGTCCAAATTAAATCCCGCCCTACATTTGTTCTTATTTGAGAAAATCTGGGGTCGGTCTTCATCTGAATCACACAAACAACTACAATCCAATACAAACCTCCTTCATGTACTCTTTCAAAAGATGTGAAATAGCTTCTTGACATGATGTTAACCACACAAACAAACAGTGTTTGAGGGCGGGTCGAGTTGAACATAGGCGGGCATTATGCAAATGTGTTACCCTGTGACGTGTAGCCGTCACAGAAGTGAGATTCGAATTACTGACGACTCGTTTAGGCTGTTCAGAGTCTATTTTTTTCTTTTGGGAGACAATAACTTTATCATGCAATTCTGGCTTCACAACTTTGCAGATCATTTACATTCACAAACAGCTACATTACACACTGCATGAAAGGCAATATTCAAAATGGCATGATAGGGGCACTTTAATTTCTCCTGTCCCTATCAGAGTAGGGATTATATCTGAGCAGTGGCTTGAGTAACCTGCACAAACCTGGGAACGGGAATTCTCTTGTTCACCCCTTCCCAAATATGATTGCTGTCATATCTTGATGATCTGGTGGGCATCTGTGTGTTCCAGCTCCAAACTCTTTCTGATGATGGTCACCAATTTCCCTGCTCCCATCAGAGTTCCCAAAACAGTTCTCTTCTGTTACTGTGAATGAATTGAGAAATGTGCAATATGACGACTCTAGTTAAAGGTGCCATACAATGCATTGATACAATATTTTAAATTCTTCTCTGATGTCTCCAGAGTGTGTATGTGAAGTTTTATCTTAAAATACCCCACAGATAATTTTTTATAGCTTGTTGAAATTGCCACTTTTATGGAGATATATCCAGCTGCAGACCCGCAGCACCAGCAGTTTCAGAACCGGAAGTGAGGGGCGGAGTTATTGACAACGAGAGAGCACGGTGAGTATTCTGTAATGTTTTTGCTATCGTATGTTTGATAATTATCGTATATATTACGTTAAGCATTTATCTGCTAAGTACTTAATGTGTGCTTGGCTTTATTATCTTATATTGAAACTTGAATTTGTTGTCATACTTTATAGTATATAACTTTTTTCTGTGGATGTTTCGATTAATTTTCGGATGCATGCTGTAAATGGGCCTTGTGGTGAAGTTTTGAAGACGTTTATTATTCATAAAAATAAATAGTTTGCTTTAATTCCCTCTGTTATATGCATTGTTTGTGTGTTAATATTACCTTGTAGTTTAGTTATTTTAATCCCATTTGTCATCATTGAGATAATTGTGTGTGGCTTCATCTCTTGTAGAGACATATAAGGATTCAGAGAGTTGACACATTACCTGAGCTGCAGCAGTGCAACAAGTGTTACAGGAATTACCAGCAATCTTGGTTCTGCTTGACCAGCATGTTTAAGCCAGCCATGGCTGCGGTTCTGTGGCTGTGGTTCTGAAACTGCTGGTGCTGCGGGTCTGCAGCTGGATACTATTGCTTTTATGAGCCAAAAAGCACCGTTTTTGTGTTTGTCCCTTTAAATGCAAATGAGCTGGTGCTCCCGCCTCCGTTTTCAGAAGAGTGTGGAGCTTCAAGAGCTCATGCTCGCGGGCATACCGGTGTTACGGTTTAACTGGTGGTGACCGTGTTACTGACGTCACATTGCTTCCAAATGCAATTTTTAGCTACCACATTTCTATTTACGATCATTCTGGTAGCACGTGAAGGCAGCATTAGTGAAAACAGGCAGACACGATGGTAGCTTTAGCAACATTAGCCTTACAGAGAGCCAAGAATCTCTTTTGGAAAACAAAATATGACGCGTGATGCTTACTTTGTCTGTAGTTTGTAGTTCGTTTGCGCACGAAGCGTTGGTATCGATCCCTCGTTCAGAAGTAATCTTTGCACAACTCCAGCGCTGAACTGGCCCTCGTTTGTGATTAGCACAAACAGGACTTTAATGTTTTTCCGGGACATTTCCTTCGAAAATGAAATTTAACCACCGTGTCCTTAGCAGTGTATGAAATATGCATTCCATATTTAATGAGTTCATTCTTGTCTACACAGCCCAAAAGACATTTATTCATTTTCACAAACTGTAAATGTACCTTTTTAAATGTTATCAGAAATGTCTTTTTACTATGCCTACTAATTACGCTTATTGTTTTGCATTTTAGGCTCATTTGATCACAGAGTATGTGCTTCAAATGTTATTGTTGCAAGTGTAATTTAGTTTATTATTATTATTATTATTCATATCGGGGTGTACCTTTGCACACAAACCTTCGGGAACATTTAGAATTGTGTGCAAAACAATCCTGTACTCTGCTCGAGTCCTGTTATAAAGTGCATACAAACAAAATTATTTCGTTTAACATAGGTAGCTTAGTAAGCGACTACACTCTTCACATTCCCTGATAGCACACGTACATCACAGAGACGTCTATTTGACGTCTGCATTACATCTGCAAGACGTATTTTTACAGTGTTTGCTCATCTGCAATGCGTCTATAGGACGTTTCCTATCAGATGTCAAATAGACGTTTAGAAGATGTCTTTAAGATGTTTATGATTTAGAATGCATGTGAAACTGACATCTTAGAGACGTCTATCAGATGTTTGTACACAGCAGATGCTTTCCAGATGAAGCGATCTTCAACAGACCTCTTGCAGACGTACCTGTGCTATCTGGGTTCTAAACAGTTTCATTGCCCTTAATGCTTTTCTTTGTATTTTGTATCTCTTTAACCTAAACATCCAGGCAGCAGGATGAAATGACATGATCCGATAATTAAAATTCCTCCTGCTTTACTAGGGTTTAATGTGAGCTCTGTTGATACATCTAAGTGATCCACCGCAACATGATGAAAATAAACGCAGGCGCAGTGGTGCCTCGCATTTACATTCAGGCGCATGTCGGGCAGCTATCGGGGTCCTGTCATTCTGACACGTGTCATCAGCGGGCGTCGGTCCGGCGCAGACACGTGTGCTGCTGTTCTTAAGAGATTCTCCAACACAGTGAGCACTGATTTAGTGTTTCTGTACTAGTTACTAAACAGCACCGATGTAGCAGCATGGTACAGTAACGTGTCAGACGGTAATACATGCAGGATTTCCACTATCATCTAGAAGTAATTAACCACAGACATATGAAGCATAAGTCAGAAGATACAGGATCCCAAGAGTGGTTTCATTATTTTACACTGAATATATGACAGTGCACTGATCTCTAGAGTTTTTGGTTATTAAAGTGAGTTCAGTAAGTATCTTTGGGTTGTTCTTGTAGTCATGGAGTACATGCAAGCCCCGGCATCAAGCACACAAGGCAACATGTGAGTATTACATGAGTCTTTTTAGTGTTTTCAAACGTTCATCTCTGTCTAGGCTCTAGTAAGCCTCACTTTCTCGGCTTGAGCTAGCTGTTTTGATTGAGATCCTTTCTGAATCCCTCGTTCTTTTCTTGCAGCCTGTGCTGTATGTGTGGCATTGCCATTCCTCCAAACCCAGCCAACATGTGCGTCTCCTGCTTGAGGAATAAAGTGGACATCTCGGAAGGAATTCCCAAGCAAGTCACCGTCCATTTCTGCAGGCAGTGTGAACGGTGCGGTCTGTCAGTGTAACTGACTCAATAAACCTTGACCATGTCTTCTGTCAGTGGATAGTGCAGTTAGGGTCGGAGCACAGCTGAGAAACATTACCAGACATTATAACACGTATAGTTCCGGTGCTTGATTCTGATTGGCTGAGCCGCGTTCGAAGCTGTTGTAAATGACTCTACAAAGTAACATACACCTTTGTTTACGTTTGTCTGTTGCTCGGCAACCACTTTGTTGCAACCACAACTGTTTCTGAGGAACTACATTGTTTGGTGGAAGAATACAGTTTTTATTAATATCATTACACTTTATTTGCTCTGTTTTATTTTGTGAAACCTAACTACGTATATGGAATAACCGTTTTATAAAAGCAATAATCCCCGTGAAGCCGTTTCACGTCGTACCTAACAACGGCCCTTAGCTGTTATAAATTCACTGTAAACCACGGCTTCTTGGGGTTTATTGCTTTATTAACTCACAGCTGATAAATGCTTTATGAGCAGTATATAATGGCCAGATTTTAGTTTTTGGGTGATTGTCCAGTAAATTTGGGGAACTTTCCAGTATTTTTTGGAATATTCCAGGGATTTTTGGAAAGTTTTCAGAAATGTTCCACCCCTTTGCAACCCTATAAATAACAGACATTAAAAACAAACTGAGCAGTGCAAAAGAATCTAAAGGAAAGCAGAGTTTTAGCTGCTTTTTAAACGTCCAAAGGGAGAGCAACCTCAACTTCTCTCGTGTGAATAAATGCCAATAATCTGTGCAACTGTGTAATTCAGTTTTTAGTGAAGAGACCCATTGTTTTGATTAAATTGCTAAAATTGAATTGGCAAACACCTCTCCAGTTTTTCCAGAGGAGAACATATATGTTGTAGTTGATTCAGAATACGATTGTGTGTGTACAGAAACACTGCATAGCTCTAAAGCATGTCGGCGTCTTTTTTTTTTGGAGCTGAAGGATTAACCAGAATATGGATTTAGAAAAGTAAGTGTGTGCTCGTGTCTAAACGAGGGTTACCTGTGTGTCTGTAGGTACCTGCAGCCTCCGGGGACGTGGCTCCAGTGTGCTCTGGAGTCCCGCGAGCTTCTGGCTCTGTGCCTTAAGAAACTCAAGGCTTCCGTGGCAAAGGTCAGTAACTCGCAGAATCATCATGGCATCGAGGACAGCTGCAGCTGATGCTGAGTTCACAGTGTGTTTCTTTTATTACCATCAAGGTGAGACTTATCGATGCGGGCTTCTTATGGACGGAGCCGCACTCTAAAAGAATCAAGATGAAGCTGACCATCCAGAAAGAGGTAGTGTAGGAGACTTCTAGACTGAGGGGACTCCAGATTGGAAGTGTTTCAGTGAGACTGATGTGTCTGTAGGTCATGAATGGAGCCATTCTGCAGCAGGTGTTCGTGGTGGAGTTTGTCATTCAGCCTCAGATGTGTGAGGATTGTCATCGGGTGGAGGCCAAAGACTTCTGGAAAGCAGTCGTGCAAGTCAGACAGAAGGTACACACAGGAGACACATGCCTGGGGCTGAGGGTCGCAACACAAAAATGTGACCCTGCAGCACAAAAGCAGTGTTAAGTCGCTGGGGTATATTTGTAGCAATAGCCAACAATACATTGCATGGGTCAAAATTATAGATTTTTCTTTTATGCCAAAAATCATTAGGATATTAAGTAAAGATCATGTTCCATGAAGATATTTTGTGAATTTCCTACCGTAAATATATCAAAACTTAATTTTTGATTAGTAACATGCATTGCTAAGAACTTCATTTGGACAACTTTAAAGATGATTTTCTCAATATTTAGATTTTTTTGCACCCTCAGATTCCAGATTTTCAAATAGTTGCATCTCAGCCAAATATTGTCCGATCCTAACAAACCATACATCAATGGAAAGATTATTTATTCAGCTTTCAGATGATGTGTAAATCTCAATTTCGAAAAATTGACCCTTATGACTGGTTTTGTGCTCCAGGGTCACATTAGCATTGACTGATGTATCGCCATGGCTGATAATTGCCCTGTTTTTGTTTAGTTGGACGCTATTACATACAGGGTTGCCAGGTTTTCACAACAAAACCTGCCCAATTGCTACTCAAAACTAGCCCAAGACTAGGCCAGTCGCATTCTGGGTGCTAAGGGTAAAATACACGTTTTTGGTAGGGTTCCAAAATTTGGCAAAAATTGCATTCCAGTGGCTAAATATCACATAATTGGGGTCGCTTCAACCCCCCGCGGACATGAAAAACGACCCGCGGGAAAACCACAGACTTGCCAACCCTGATTACATATAATAATATTTAATCCTAAAATATCTAAATCTAAATTTTAAGTTGCATTGAAGAGTTAAAGTAAATTGTCATTTATCAAATTTGACTTATCAGAGACATTGCCTTTGTGCTAGTTGTGTCTTAAAGTGACAGCAGCCTAATACTCCTGCCGCTGGCATTAATGCTAATCAAAATCCCTCACTACTCTTGACTGAGTAGCTTTATTAGCTTTAAGAGGATCAACGGCTGTTTAATTTATACAGTGTTTTGTTTTATAGTTAATTTGATTGCTTCATTCAATTTCTACAGTGTTTCTTACATGAATGCTGTTGTTGGACTCGCCTGACAACCTAAACTCTTTGTTTGTGCTGTGATTGTTGTACTTTTGTATTTATTTCTCTTGCTGCTTTGTTCTTATTTTATAACCGACTGGTTTACGAACTGTACTTACATTATAAACTATGCTGGTATTAGTTAGACTAGTATTAGTTTTTCCTGTGGTATCGAAATTGGTCCGTTTTGTCTTTTGTTACTGTGTGATAAAGCTATTTCGGCGTAATATTCAGAATGAAAAGTTAAGGGCTTCAGTATAGAAATTAGATCGTAAATCATGAAGTCATGGAAATTCATTGGTCCAAAAGAGTGCGAACCCATGAGCATCTTGAAAAACACAAATATGCAATTGTCACATTGCAGTTGCACAATTATGAAAACCAAAAGTAAACTGAATTTTGACTTCAATATGCTAATATCTGTAGTCTTCAGCAATTTTGTTGTTAGATTTTTGGCTCCCTAACTACTGCTGAACCCTATTGCTTTCAGACATTTATATTTACCTTCTGTGTTTATTATTTAAAGGATTGTGGTTGAAGTTTTTATTTTTCAGACTGTCCACAAAAAGACGTTTTACTACTTGGAGCAGCTGATTTTGAAACACAAGCTCCATCAGAGCACAGTGCGCATCAAAGAGATTCATGGTATGTTTCCCATCGTCCTCCTCAGTGTTTGTCGTCAGGATGCTGTATTATGAGTTCATAGCCTGACCATAGTCGTGCTTTTTAATATTCATGCCTGTGTGCTTTCAGAGGGCATTGATTTTTACTACGCCTCTAAGCAGCACGCTCAGAAGATGGTGGATTTCTTGCAGTGCACCGTTCCCTGCAGGTTTGGCAGTCATATCAGTAAATGTTCAAAATGTCTAATAAAACAAAAGGATAATTTGTGCATCTGTACTGTTGGATTGGAATAAAAAGAAAAGTTTCCAAACGTATCGTTCTCTTTGCAAAAGTGTATCAGAAACAGTCAGTGAGTTGAGAGAGAGCTGATAGCTTGTATCTAATCGAAGCCCTGTTGTGATGTGGTCTTATAAACTAACAGTGAATGTTGTTTGTGAAGGTCGAAGGCGTCTCAGCGGTTGATCTCTCACGATATTCACTCCAATACCTACAACTACAAAAGCACCTTCTCAGTGGAGATCGTTCCTGTGTGTAAGGTAAACACGACTGAATCATTTTGAAATAATCTGGAATCATTTGCACAACATTTCACATTAGGGCTGGGCGGTATGACGGTATATATCGGTATGCAAATATATCTGCGTAACATAGTACTGCTTGAACGGCATACACCTTTGAGTGCGAAGGAAACATGCATGAATGAGAAAATAAAGAGTGGGACTCACTTGATGGTTATTAAGTGCAATAAGCAGTGAAAAAGAACTCAATGCGGTGCTCGCGCTGACTGACAAACACTCAGAAAGCGCCTCTCTCAGACAGCATGTGATCGCAAAAACAGATCTCTTTTGTGCTTGAATGGTCAAATATGCACACAGTAATGTCGTAATGCCCGTCGTGTGGTGTGTTCAAGTAAACTCAGTCAGTTATATGTTAAATAAATGTGAAAACCAGATGTGTTTCAGTATGTTGGATCTGTGCAGTCGGTCTTAAAGGGACAGCAGCCTTATTTACCTGCTGCTGTCTGTCATTATTAATGTTAATCATGTTTGATTGATACAGTGAAGACTATACAGTGTTTCATTTATACACTTTATTCAGTTTCTGTAATTTTTATTTCTACATGTTAAATAAACCTACTGTAGCTGAATAAATTAAAAGTTTATTTTATATTTATTTGTTCTGTTGTGTTGTAATTTTGTTTCTTTTTCTTGTTTTTAATTTAAAAAAAAAACTATATCGAGATATATATCGTTATCGTGAAATAAAATTTCTCATACCGTGAAATAAGGTTTTGGTCATATCGCCCACCCCTATTTCACATGCGCTTTCATGCTAGGTGAATGCTTTTCGTTTTATTTCCTGGTGCTCTGTTGTGTGTAACACAGTCAGGAAGTGCAGTGTAATCATTAGAATGAGTATTTTTAGAAAAGCGTGACGCCTTATTCTGTCCTCTAGCTTCAGCTCTTCTCACACACACACACTCACATACACACTCTCTCTCTCTCTCTCTCTCTCTCTCACACACTCACACAC